CAGCAATAAACCTTCATGTTAAAATGTCCAACAGGTGAAACAAACATGTTTACAGCCTGGTACAGCAAACTTCCTCCTTCAGCTGTATGGGGTGATATTTTATACAACTCACTCATCTGAATCGTATTTAGGCTCAAAACTCAGCGTAGTTAAGAGCATGACGACGTTGAATGACAGGTGGATGCCGTCCCTGACCCAGAAGCGTGTGCATGCTCCACCTCTTTGCTCATTTCTCGCTCCACCTCTTTGCTCGTTTTTGGATTAGCCGGGAGTCAGGAGGAGGCCGGTGCTGCCGAGATGGATCCACCGCACTGAGCTCTTCAGGAAATGACGTCAGGGAGGGTTCATCAATCTTCATATACAGCCTGGGCTTCATGCTCCAAAACAATACAGCAACCGCTCCTCTGGGACGCAACTTTCTTTCCTCCCTTTTCTCCACCGCATCCATACCTCTTCCTCCACACGCTACATATCTGTCTCTCTATACCGGGAAGCGGTTAAATGAGCATAGCCGGTTTCCTCCCGTGGGAGCCTACGGGGAGGGAGGACGCCGGGTAGCAGTGAGAGGTGGAGGAGAGTGTTTAGCAGACTGTCAGAGAACCCCAGCAGCCACCCAGATCTGCTGTGATGGGAGCTGTCTGGAGGAAGCTGGTGCCACAGCAGCTCGTGGCTCCGCCTGCGTTCACACAGTTCACAAGTAATTGGAGTCTGGGAGTCGGACAAGGTGCTGGTGTTGTGTCCTGCAGGGCTTGAATTAGGGTTCCTTTAAAGTGGGCCGGGTTGTGTGTTTTCTGGGCATAGAAATCAGACTGGAGACACCTGACAGCTGAGGATACGTTCATTTACACTGGTCCAGTCTGTTTGACTGTTCGGTCGGTGAGATGAGGGGAAAAGGCCTCTGAGCTAAAGGAGCCACGCTGAAAATGTGGCTTCCAAACAAAACTGCAGTGCAGCTCATTAGAAGTGAGAACATGTTCAAAACTAGAAATAGGAAATGACCCCAAATACCAAGTTTTACTGCCGACGCTCCTTAATGCTTGTAAAACCCAGAACGTCACGGAGTGAGAGCAAACTGATGTTCTCTGGTCGTCCTCTGATACGAGCACCAACGAAAACACATTACTGCAATGTGTGTGTGTGTGTGTGTGTGTGTGTGTGTGTGTGTGTGTGTGTGTGTGTGTGTGTGTGTGCAGCCCATCGACCAGGAGTGATGGAGGAGATCATTCACAACCTGGACTACTGTGACGTCCTGGTCCTGGGGGAGGAGCTGAACCCGGAGCAGGAGTCTCTCCAGCTGCAGCGAAGCGCTCTGCTCGGAAAACACCTGGACGCCACCAACTCCACCTCCGGCATGTCCATATACGGTAGGTTACTACGCCGACGTGAACACAACGCTTAAACTACGTAAACCAGCTCCAACCCTCTGCTGTCCCCGCCCCTCTCCTCCACAGGCGTGGACTCCATGTCCAACTACGAGCAGGTGATCCGACAGGTGCGCTACTACAACTGGCAGCCCGGACAGCTGACAGAGAGAAGGTTTCGCCTGACCTGCTCGGAGCTCAACGGACGCTACACCAGCAACGAGTTCAACCTGGAGGTCAGCGTGAGCCGTGCTTAGAGTCTGTTTGAGGATTCGGTATCTCCACCTGTCAGCAGCCGCTCCGCTATCAACGAGATCAGGAAGCAATTTGTTATCAAAGACGCTGAGTCATGTCCGCAGAAATGAAGGCTGATGGATCTGATAGCAGAGCGGAAACCATCAGACACAGTTAATTAATGTGCCACTGTTTTGACAGCCTGGATGCTGTAAAGTGGGGTCGTGTGAGGTATCTATAGTCAGTGGAGCGGCATGGAGGCTCAGAGCTGCTGTGGACGGAGTCGGTGATAGAAATGTGTTCTAGAGACCCACCTTAACACATCCACAACAGTTTAAATGTACACTGTATGTAGATTATTTCACAGCTTAACCTTGTTATCAGTCTGCTCGTTCCAGTGGGAAACTGAAAGAGTTTTAATGTTCATTTCAAAGCCACCAGATTCTGTTGACGAAGGCAGTGATTCTACCTCAGAGAACGCTTCAGTCAGGTCACATGTCAGTTTAAATCCACGCTGACGTGCATTAGTTGGGATTTAAACAAACATATCAACACACCAAAGTCACACAGTGATGAACCAGCAGCTCCTGTTTTCTATAATGGTCAGATTAGTGTTGTTTTAGCTTTACGTTTCCATCAGAATGGGCGAGAATGTCTGATTTTATTCATTTATTTTTCTGCAAATCACTGTATAGGCAATATTCCTGGATACTTACTTTTATTATTTGCTAATGGATCCATGACTGCCATCTAGTCGTACAAATCATGTATATATTGAAGTTAATTTGCAAAAACAGATAACTTCACAAACCTTCAGAAAACCCACTTTTCCACTTTTCTACCTGAGACAACATCAATCAAACTTAGGTTATGTCTGTTTTTGTCATTTCTACTGAATCAAATCCACTCAGCTTCAGTTTAATTGATATCATCTCAAGCAAACAACAAAATAATACATTTTCTGAAAATCTACAAAAAAAAATGGAGTTATCTGTTTTTCATATAATAATCTTTCTTTTCTTTTTTTTTAAAGAAAATTAATTATTGAATGTTTAAAATCTGAACCAGCAGTTCCAGGTCATGCTTTTATAATTTTGATATGACGGTTTAACTTTCATTAGGACTGTGCTATAACTCTATGACGACGTGCTTCACCGCTGGTTGTATGAGGTGACCAGACTGATGTGGCTCCTGAACATTCTTCATACAGTGGATATAGTTTGTTTAGGTGTTTTTGTTGTTGCTGTCCAGAGCAGCTCCTTTGCAGAGCCTCCATGCAGGTCCTCCTGCTGTAGCTGACACCCTGACTATTGATAACCGCCTCATACAATCCCACAAACACGCCTTTAAGCATTTCATTCGACATTAGAGGCGTTTATTTCTACCTGGCGTGTTTCCCATTAATGTGGTTATTGTGTCTCTGTGAGTCGTGCCAACGTTGTACTCTGTTAAAGGAAAAGAAAAGTCACAAACAAATAAGATATAACAGGTGTGAACACAATTTATATTTCCCCAAATTTCACATGAATCATTTTAAACATTTGTTTTCAAGTCTGGCTAAAAGTAAATACGACAATTAGCCATCTGGATCAGTCGTGTTGCTGTTTGCACACGGATCTCCAACCCAGGATGCTTGCCGTTTGTTTTTCGGAGGTTTGCTCTGATATTCCTCCTGGACGTCGAGTACAGAGGTGGAGAGCGCAAAGTTAGCGTGACTCACAGGCAGCAGGTTGAAATAAACCCACTGTCCTTTAAAGCACAACAACAAACACTTACTGATTCCAGGAGCCCAAATATGAGCAATCATATATAAGTTAAAGTTAAATATGTGGCTCTGTAAATGTTTTATAAACACACTGACTAATCCATTAATCAGAAAACATCTGCACAATAGCTACGTCAAGGCAATTCTTAAAATAGTCTGAGCCAGTATTTTTCAGGTTAATGCAGAGTGCTTCCAGTAGCAGTGCTTTCTGAGCTTTGTGCTTACATGACAAATAGATGGAAATAATGATGGCAGATCCAACCCACCCACTCCTACATTCAGATACGTGTTTCAAGTACCTCTAAAAAGAGCGGCGGTGCAGGAAAACGTCCCCGACAAGGAGCTGGAAAATAACAGATGTACGATTTCTCAACAGAAAAAACATAATATGAGTGATGATATTCAGCGACAGTAAGTTGTCACTGGAGATCGTGTTGCTTTTTACTATCAAGTCAACCAAAGTGCTTGAACTGGCGAAGTGACGGAGCTGACTCAGCTCAGGTTTCTGGCAACACTTTGACTTTCAGAGCAGATTTAAAAAAACGAACCTCATCAGGAATTCCGGCGGCATCGCTTTCACCTCTTAGCAGCAAAATGCTTGGGAGAAATTAGCACTCGAAAAACAACCCAACAAGCCAGTAAATGCACCTTAAACAGCAGTTAGGCACGCTGACACAGCCGAGCTCGGCGTATCAAAAGAAGCAACGCTGAACGCTTCATCTTCTCCTGAAGAGACCCTGAACCGCTCGGCGGTGAGTCAGGCTGTTCTGACAGCAGACACGTTCACACACACTCCACCTGTAATCCACTGTTCTTCACTTGATGATAAATGCCAGAATCAGCTCAGTGTGTCGGCTTGTTTCTGTCCCTGCACTTATTTATACATTCTCAGGTGTTTACCTGAGGGAAACAAAATGTTTCACGATACATACTTTGAACTTTGCAGGGTGTCGAGTGGAATCCAGATTACCTTCTTGTATTGAGTTGACCCCGTCCCCATGAAAGCCATGAATATATTCACTTTCCCTTTCTCCCAGCCTTACTTTAAAATCCAGACTTGGAGACTTTACTTTATTCTGTTGAGAATATATCAGCTTTGGCAAACAGCCTGTGACTGAAATGTTAACTCTGATCGCTTTACCTTCACAAAAAATCATCCCTTCTGCCTCATCTGTTCCCAACCAAGGTGGGCGTCCTGCACAGCTCAGAAGCCGGAGAACACATCAGCCACATGGTGGCTCCGCCTCAGTACATGCAGGTGGTCCACCATCCGTCCATGATCCACGACCTGTACCCGTCGCACAGCTCAGGTAGGAAAACACAGTTCTGTTTAATGCTGCTCTGTCACACTCAGCATGACGACATAACTCTGGATGTCCAGCAGCAGTTGTCTGTAACACGTGTTTTATGATTTACTAAATCAAAAAGAAACCTCAATCATTGCATAAAGTTTACACCCACACCGTTCCAGGTTGACGTTATGGAGCATTAAACAGATAATAAAATAAGGCGCTTTAATTTTAAGTCAGGTTTATGTCCGGATTAATCAATCAAACGTGTTTTATAAAGCACCTTTCAGGCAGTTTAATGTTTCACAGATGACTGATAACAACACGGAGAAAGTAGAAAGTAAAACCAAATCTGATTTAAAAGGAACAGCTAAAAAAAAATAACTAAAACAAAGCATGGAAATAAAATAATACAATCTAGATTAAATTAGATTCAAAGACAAAGCATAAAAGTGCAGTGAAATACTAAAAAATAGATTGAAACTCGATAAAAAATACAATAAAATGGATTCAAATTTACCGACATAAAAGCAAAAATGAAGTGAGAAACGTCTGCAAAGCGCGTGCAATCAAAAGCCTGCTTGAAGAGGTAGATTTTAAATTTATGTTCAAAGATTGCAGCACTTCTCGGCGCTCTCAGGTCCTCAGGCAGACTGCTCGGCTGCTCCGAGCAGAAATGCTAAAAGCTTCCTCACCAAAGGTTCTAGTTCAGCAGTTTGCAACTATTTACAGACTCGTGCCAGAAAGCCGGAGGAGCCTCACGGGTTCAAGCGCTGGAAGCGTGTGAGACGCATGTGCATACGAGGTGCCTGAAAAAAGACGACGAAGCTTTTAAAATCAATACAGAAACTGACAATGAAAGAACTTTAGAACTGTTCTAATGCGTTCTCTCCTTTTTAACATTTCTTGAAAGTTCAGATCAGGAGTCGGAGATCACACCGACGGCTTCTCTCATCATCTCCAAACACACCACATAACTGGCTGACTTGGAAGTTTCTCGTGTTATTGTGCATTATTCATGTCTTTAAAAAAAAAATCAATTTCTGGAACAGGGAACGAGGGACACAGACAGAATACAATATATTGACCATCACTATCCAGCGCTTTGACTGGCTGAGAAGAGTTTCCTCCACCAGAGCTCCCAGTGATGAGAGAGGAACTAGTCACACTTTTATGTAACTCACTATAATATCTGAGCCTGACTAGTGTCTTTATTTTAGGGTGTCAACGACGGAAATACAGATTCTTGAAGCCAAATCACAGAATTTACTGATGGTGCACATGATATGTTTAATAATATATATACTGATAACATCCATGGACTTCACAGTAATCGTGCAGAAATAAGAAAACAGTCAACATGATGTAGTAAAAAAGTAATGAACAACGTCATGTCAACGTTATACTCCGTTGTAGCGTGTAAAGGAAAAGACAAGTCACAAAAAAAAAACAGGATGTAAAAGGTGCGAGCCTCCTTTATATGTCCCCAAATTTCCAATGAATCATTTTTAAACATTTGTTCTCAAGTCTGGCTGAAAGTAAAAACAGAAATGAGCCGTCAGGAAGCAGCTTCAACAAACTCTGATCCTGAACTCTGAGCTGATCTACTCTGAGATAGGAACAACTCAACTTAAAAGTCTGGATTCGTGGGGGTATTTTCTGGCAAACTACAGCTAAGTTCAACAATCACACGGGGGGGTAGTAAAGGTCACAGAAGATGCAGTAATCCAAATCTCTCTCCCGACGGCATCTTCAGGGTTCTGAGTGAAGGTCAGGACTCGTTGTTTGACTGACGGTTGACAGCAACCACTTCCAGTCTCCAGCAGCTGTCAGAAGTCATTCTGGTTATAATGTGGTTAAACAGTGTGAACAAGGAAGATTTGGTGTTTGTTTTAAAAAAGCACACCAAGAAACCTAAAGTCTAACAAATATAACAACTCGGGAGGAATCTCAGATTACTAGTTCGCGTGACAACACTGTTCATGCATGAGTATGAAGGTGAAGCAGATGTAGAAGCTGACTTGACTAGACGCTGATGGACGCTCCCAAAGGAAAAGCTCACGGGGAGTAAAACGCCGAGGATCACAGTCAGGAGCCAGTCAGAAAAAAAAAAAAAAAGCCTGTGAAGAGTTTTAGTGTGTCAGCTATCCGTCCGAGGGTAAACACGGCGAGATCCGAGGTTCCGCTTTCTAGTTTGTTTATCGCTGCTGCTCATCAGCTGCTTTCGTGCGAAGCGGCTCTCGGTGATCGAGGCCCTCCCCAAAGATGCCTCCCTCGCTGAGTGATCTGAAGTTAGAAAAAAAAAGAACATGGTGAGGAGGAGAGACATTGGTCTTAATCTACCACATGAGATTTAATTATTCATCAGCCTCTAATGGATTCTACTTAGAGTCCTGGAGAGTTCAGTGGCCGACGCTGTTAACAGCCCAGAGAGTTGGAGGGTGGATGTGTGCGAAAAGGAGGTCAGAGGAGCACAGGGGGAGGTGGGCGCAAAGATAAAGAAGAGATTTTTCACTCGTAGCTCCAGCCGTGACATGCTTTTGGCACATGTGGACGTCTTCTGATGATGTCATGGCGTACATGTGGAGCGTTAACGAACGAAGGGGGGAAATAGTGCACGTATGCAAACGGCGAGGTTCCTCAGAGAAGCTCCACTCCGAGGAAGATCAAAGGCAGCGGGTTTAGTGTGAAAATCTAGGAACTAGACTGAATCAAATGATCATCTGAAGAGTCCTCTGTGAGCCTCAACCTCGTTAAACACACACACACACACACACACACACACACACACACACCAGGAGGGACTGGTGGAGAGAGAGAGAGAGAGGCCAGGCGCTGAGAAGTCATGTTATTTCAGTGGGCTGAAGATCAGAGCAGGCGAAATAAACATTTTATTTCAAGAGAAATCCCTCAGTGTGTGTTGTGGTTATGCTACTAAATAGGGCCTGTGATACATCTGTGCAGTCGTGTACTGCATAGAGACCAGAATTTAATGTGTTTAAGTTTCTTCTTTTTTTTTAAATAAATGCATTTGAATTCGTCTGTAGATTTCACATCTTCTGGTGTGAATCAAAGCCAGCAGAAGAAAAAAAACTGAAGCATTAACCAACTTATACGGCTTTTGTCTGAACAATAGCAGCCTCGAGAGTTGAATTACCGAGACAGGATCAGTAGCAATCTAGCGTCTCCGTTACCCCGTTTAAACCCGGTATTAACGTGCAATCTGTAGCCAGATTAGGGGAATTGCATGTTAAACCTCCATCATGCAGAAATCTGGGCAGGAGGACTGAAAGCAAACATCTTCTCCTCTTTCACGCATGTCAAACCTGCAAAGACAGTCAAGAGTCAACATTTGTTCGCAGCTTTGCTCAGGATTCCACCAGTAAAAGTCCTCCACCGCATCCTGCTCTCACCTCATCTCTGCTGCTGTTTGCTCTGGACGGGGTTAAAAGAAAACTGATAGGCTAAAATCTGACGGGCCGGATTTTCTTAAGCAGCTGCAGACATGTTAAGACGACCAACTTAGAGGTTAGTGTGAAGATTTTCCCCAATGATGCTAAAAAAAAAAAAGTCTGTTCCAGCGTTAATGCAGAGTGTAATGAACACAAGTGGAGGTGGTCGGACTCACGCTGACTCCTACGTTGACTCCTTCGCTGACTCCTACGCTGACCACTAACTCTATGGACACCTACGTCCAGGCCCTTTATAATACGCTGCACTGTACTCTTTTGAGTTTATTGAGTAACAGAAGATCTGCTCGGCACATTATAAAACATCTGCCACGGCTGTTACGAATATACGGCGCACCTTCTTTCAGTTCAGTTCTATTTATATAGCTCCAATTCACAACACAAGTCATCGTGAGGCACCTCGCCCTCTAAATCCTTTCACTTCACTAATAAAAAGGATTAAAAAAGAAATAGCTCTGATAGTACAGACTTGGCAGCAAGAGCACAGTGACTGTATGAGAGCTCCAACACTCATACGTATCCATAGTCTAACAGCGAGTTATTTATCCACATGTGTAATTCATTTCATATTTTAAT